CCAGGAGGTCAGTGGTCGGTGTGAAGGAGGGAGAGAGCCTGTCCAGGCCTGGGGACGGCCAGAGTCAATGTCCAGAAAGCCAAGAGTGTCTTGTTTGTGGAACTGCCAGGAGGCAGGAGTCTCTGAACGAAAGTACCTGTGGGGGAGTAAGGAGGGGCCTAGGTTGGGAAGGGCTTTCAATGCCAAGGAGAGAGTTTTGCATTTGACCCTGGAGGCAACAGGGCTAGAGTTGAGAGTGACGTGATCAGACCTCCGATTTTAGAAATATTCCTTTGGTGGCTGGGAGGACAGACTGGAATGGGAAGAGGTTGGAGGCAGGCACGCTTCGCATTAGCTACTGCAATAATCCCAATTATTCTTCATTTGGTCCTCACAACAACCCTGGGAGGGAGGTGCTATATTGTCCCATTTTACAGATGAGGAAACTGGGGCAGAGGTGAGGTGACTTGCCCAGTGCCACACAGCAAGTAACTGGCTGGGGCCAGATTTCAACTCAGCTCTTCCTGACTCCCCGCCCAGTGCTCTATGGACCGGCTGCCATTTTACAGATAAGCAAGCTGAGCTAGGGAGAGGTGAGAGGGTTTGCTGGATGTCAACGGTCTATTGTCAGTGTCAAATGTCAGTTGTAGGATTCGAATCAACTCCTTCCTGCGTCCCAGGCCGCTCTGCCCTAGCCCGGCTGCCTTTCCAGCCTGGGGAACGGAGGAGCTTGGCTTGGCCCAGCTCCGGTCAGGATGGACGAGCTGGATAGCCAGCCTGGACAGCCCAGAGGGTGCACACACAGGTAAGGTGGAACCACGAAGGGAAGGACCCGAGAACAGGCAGGAGCAGGTGCGGGGCGGGCCCGGGGGCGGGGGTGCTGTCCATCCCTACCAATGCCAGCCGGATGGCGAGGCCGGCAGGTCCAGAGCCCGGCTCTGCCTCCGCCCCCACCAGACAAGGATTGGCTGACGGGTGATCAGGGCCCCGAGGATTGGAGCCTGGGATGTGGGAGGAGGATGGCCAGGCAGGGATGATCAGGGGCTGGGACCGAGAGATTGGGAGGTGCGGAGGAACCCCTGCCCCTGCCCGGCAGCCGCTGGTCAGCTCTCCTGCGGCCTGCCCCGTCCGCACCCTCTGGCTCCCTCAGCCAGGGGCCCTTTGTCTTTCTCTCTCTCAGGCCCCGATTCAGAACCATGGCTCATCAGCAGACTTCCCCGCGCTCTGTCGAACTCGAATTTGGGGGGCCCCTGGGTAAGCATCCGACCGGCTGGGAGAGCAGGGTAGGGCTCTGCAGCTGGAGTTTTTGCTTTTGTTTTTTTTGGGGGGAGGCGGGAGGGGAGGGTCCCTCGGTAAGGAGGCGGGCCAGCTGACGGAGCGGGTGGATCCCCTGGGCAGGGCAAGATTTCTGCAGCTGGAGT